TGGACAGCGTGGCGTCGAAGGTGATGCCCATGTAAGTGTAGTGCTGGACCACTGGTACTTGCAACTGCATGTAGCGGCAGTTAGCCAAATCAAGCTCCTCCTCTGCAGGGATGTCGATCGCGAGAATGGCGGATTTGGTTTTGCCCAAATTGAACTTCGGTCCATGCTCCACCGTGTATCTTTCGCAAGCTTGCCAGAATAGCTGGGACTGCTGCGCTGAAGTGGTCGGGGCCAATGTGTCGTCAACAATTTGTAAACAAACTAACCGACTAGGGGAACAGGAATCAACACAAGCAACTCTATCGGCATAAAAAACTAAATTTGCAACCTCACCTGCAAAGCGATGCACAGAGGTCCTTGCTGCAGTTGCGTCTTGGGCAAGGCGAGGACCCAGGGCGGCGTCATGATGACCGTGCATAGCGGGCTTGATGTACTCTGCGTGCTGCAGTACACGATGTTGCCACATCCCTGTGGGAATTGCTGCGCCCAGGATGTGTTGGGAGATGTAGTCCTTGATGAACGTAGCGGCAGTGTTAAACTTGTGGACAGAAGCCTTCTTGCCCTGTGCGACGCCGTCCACGACAGTGAAAGGTGCTGAAATTGCATGGTCAAGTCTTACACGGCATCTGTCAAGCCGTAATTCATCGTCTAACTGCATCCAGGCCTTTCCTACAATGCCGGCATGAAAGGCCCCCAACAGAATATCGCAAGTGGGAATGGTGTCAAAACCCGCCCACAAATCGGCAAAGTTGATGATTGTGGGAAGCTGGCAGGCACGTCTCAACTGGCAGAAAAGCAACAAAGCGAGCGCAAAGCTGAGGGTGTCAGCGCGGCCTCCTCCCTGGCAAGGACCCCAGAAGTGCTCTAGCTTCCTTCGGTGACGCAAAAGAAACAAGGCATCACAGAGTGCTGCCATTTCAGTCCCCTGCGATATAGGGCGCAAGCATTGTAAGGAAACAACCACAGTGGGACCTTTCTTACGGATAGGGTTATAAACACGCTCACACCAGGAAGAAGCGCAGATCTGGAGTTGCATCGCAAGGTTGAGAAGTGCACGAATAAATCTGCGAGTGCCCGTGCCTGCGTGCTGCAGGGATGCATAGCATCCCCGGAATGTGTACTTGCTTGGGTCGAGGCTCTGAATGCAAAGGTCAATCTCGTCCATCGTGAAAGGGCACCAGTCATCGATAAGTTCGGCCTCGGTGAGGGGATCCACAGTAGCGCCCGAAGCGCGAATTGCAGAGACCTGCTGGGATGACGACGTATTATCGGTGACGAGTACCTTCGTGGCTAACGGACGGGAAGTGATATCATCAAGGATTGCAGACAGTGCCTCACTTGTAGACAGGAGCTCGCCAGTGGATTCATTCTTCAAACGGATTTGAGTTGCGATATTTGGTCGCAAAAGCTTAGCCAGGAATTTGGCGGCTTCACTTGGATTGCTGTCACGTAAATGCACATACTTGGCACAATTGCCTTGTTGCTTGGCACGGATGGAAGCTGTATCAGAGGAGCAGTCCCTGGAAGAAGCGGCCGGTAAGCTGGCTTTAACGATACCACCCAAGTGCCCAGCAGTAACGAAAGCAAAAACCCTAAGCCAATCATAAGCATCCAGGCAGGATCTTCGTTGCTTCAGACTACAAGAGGGAGGGGAGCAGGCAAGGGAAGGGTCACTCGAAGCAGCTTCCACAAGCTCAGCGGCAAGAACCATGCAGCTGTCAATGACCTGCATAACGTCGTGCCACTTCTCATCCGGGAGCCAACCCACACGACCGATGCAAGGCTGTGGCGATGCATGTACGGAAATAGCTAGATCACCCAAAACTAAGCTATGGTCAGAATTGAGGAATTGGCCCACAGGGAAAACTTTGATGGATCGAATACACACAGAATCGGTGGTAAGCACCAGGTCGATGGAGGTCTCACTGCAATGCGTTGGCGTATTTATGGGGTTAAGGCAATCGAATCCACAATGCCGAAAAGTGCGCTCTATCGCTGCATCTTCACGTGGTTGCCGGCAGTGCAGGCATCGGCAGGATGCACTATGATCCACAATGCAACTAAGATGAATATTACTATCACCGACAAGGACAACGGCGCCTGAATCGGGCACTGTTTGCTTTAATGCACGAGCCTCGTTCATGAGATCGCGGAAAAAGGGTTCCTTGTCTCCGGCACTGGGCGGGGCGTAGAAAGCGCACAGCATGATAGCGGCACTGCATTGGAACGGTGGAAACCGAAGCCAGATACGTCGATCTGAAGTAGAAGCGTGCTCTAACACCTCAACCCTAGTGGCAATATCTCTGGCAAGAAGCACACCCACGGTGTTCCAAGATTGATTTCTGGCACCCACATACAAAAAGGGTAATCAGGGGGCAATTGGAATCCTGCAGGCATACGAGGGCCTGGCAGCACCAGAAGCTTGATGTTGAGCTCGCGGCAAAAGCTCGCACAGTCGAGAAGCTTCCACCAAAGGATTTCTCTAGAAAACAGCCCTGAGAACCCCGAATTCCCTGGATTAAGGCACCCGAAGGAGAAAAAAGGAGAAGAACAGGCAGGCGGAATATTGCAATCGTTGTTGCTTCGGAGGCTTACTCCACCAGTGAACGGTGCAATAATGGTCACACGGCTGTGTTCAGAGCGGTGCTTCGGCAGGAATTCTTGAGCACGGCGAAGGACTTCTCGCTTCAGAAAGGAGCAAGAAATCCGAATCAGATCCCAAAACTTACTGCGCAAAGAGGAACTCGAAAGTACGTCGGGGCCTCCCTGAGGACGCAGGGCCAGCAATGTCTGGCAGTCACACACTAAAGCATCGGCAAAAGCAATCTGGTTGCGGCGTGGAAGAACCGCGATATCATCAGTCCAAGTTCGGAGTAATGCCGAGAAAGGATTAATCCATTGAGAAGAAGCGCTGGCAGAACTCATGATGAGAAAAGCTGCGGTACGAGTACCAAGGCATTCACAAGCATACCAGGCGGCAATCAAAACGATTGCAAGCACAGAGGACTCACCGCAGCAATGCAACAATAGAATGTGGCAGGTCAAACAGTCCTACACGTGGCTACTTACCTGAGTTGGGCACTGCAGATTTTGTGCCAAAACGGTGAGTCATACCCACACCGTCCACATGTGAAACATATGGTAACATGGAGGTAGTTGCCTGCAAGCTCAAGCCAAGCATACTCCCGGCAGAGTAGAAAGAACAAAGGCGATTGACGGAAGGCCGGGAAGCCACGAGTACCATTCAAGAGAAGGGCACAACAATGGCAACCGACGGCCAAAGAGCGTCAACCGAAATGGAAGGAGACTCAAGAGCCAGGAATGCCAACGCGGGCAGATGACTGGCAACATGGGTCACAGCAAACTCTGTACAAGGGAGTAAAGCAGGCTGAATTATTTGAGCGGCGATGGCGGAAAGCATCGGCCGCGGGTGAGCAATACTCAACATGATTATTCGCAACCTACCCCGGGCCCGGGAGCCAGCAGTACCCAGAGGGTACAAGGCTGACAGCCAAGGCCACCAGGAAGGCTCAGATACCACTTCTCTTGCTGCGGTATGTTTTTGGTGCAACCTCGCTGGTAGTTCGACGGGCGCGCTGGGACTGGATATCCGCAATGTTACCCAAGAACTGGAGGAGCAAGTCAATGTGCTTGAGGATCATGCTCTTGGCGCCGTTGATTTCTAGCTTTTTGGCACTGACCGTGTAGTTGAAGGTAAGGGATTCAGTCATCCGTCTTGCAATGAGCCTGGAGACTCGTAACCTAGAGTCCTAGAGTGACAGCTTGCACGCGTTCAGTCATCTGTTTTGCAATGAGCTTGGAGACCCGTAACCTAGAGTGACGGTTTGTATGCTTTCAGTTATCTGTCTTGCAATGAGCCTGGAGTCCCGTAACCTAGAACTTGAAATCTCTGAGCTGACTTATCAAGCTGACTTCTCGAGCTGACTTGAGACCTGTGACACATTGTGTCAAGTGTGATTCACAACGGCTTTCCCCATGGCCGCCGTGTCTCCCAAAGGTTGCTCTGGTGCTGACTTCTCCTGACTCATTTCCGAGCTTGCAGATTGATTTTTAACTGACTTATCCGTCTACGAGGGACTAGTGCAGGTAGGTGAGCAGCAGTGATTGCAAATTGCAGCTATGCTTGTCCTCGACTGAATGATCGTGATATGTCACACTGCTGTCTCGTCGAGTGTAGTGTAAAGTGAATGCAGCTGTGTTGTCCTAACTGTGGTGTGCAATGTTCTTGTGTTGCCCGAAACCCCCAAAACCAGAGAGAAAGAGAGAGGGATCTGAACCCGACTGCCCGCGATTGCACTGTGCAGTGCAATGCGCCTCCACCGTTTTCAGCAATGATCCGAATGTGCTCCGAGTCGAGCCAAACGTGTCCAGAATGACTGCGCAGTGCAATGACCATCACAGCTTTGATTGGTTATTGTTTCTTGAGCTTTGCAGACGGCCTTCCTGGCCCTGCGAGCTGGCCGCACGGACCAGGGACCCTGCTCCTGTACCGGCCTGCCCCACTGTTGTGTCGTTGCAGAGCAGGCTTGACGACGAAGCTGCTATGGCGCGGCTGTTGCCGCCAACAGTTTCTCCACGCACTGCGGTGTATTTGACATTTGTTACAGAGTGGATATGCTAAGCTGCATATCCTACAGCTGTGCCGTCCATTCATGTGTAGCATGATTGCGCAGCTTCTGTTGGCAGCAGCAGCTGCTGCCCAAGAATGCGCCCAATGAACATGATGCATTATCGACCTTGGTTGCACGTGATAGTGTAGTGCAATTCAGCACTTTTGCTCTCGCTCTTTCGTTTCTCTCTCTGTCTCTTTCTCTCTCTATCTCTTTTCTCCTTCTCGTGTATATACATCCATACCATACTTAAATACGTTTGTACATACTTATTTTGTGCATTTGCACATACACGCACATACGAGATAGCTACCGCCCGATCTTTGCCAAAACGTCTGGGAGGCGATCGGCCCTGCACGGAAGTGGCAGATGCCTGGGGGGTCGCTCACTCTCTGGCCACGCTTGGAGTTCTACGTGGCTGACGGTGTCTTCCTGAACAGGCATCGGGTTAGAAATTTGGGGTTTGGAAAATTGAAAAGTGGTTCGGCAAGGCAGTGCGGGCCTAATGTTGTGGCAAGCTGTAGTTGTTGTCGGGCTGCGCACCCCGACTCTGGAAACTGGTTCGGCAAGGCCGTGCGCGTAAAACGTTGTGGCAAACTGTAGTTTTTGTCGGGCTGCGCACCCCGGATGCGCATGCAGCATATGGACGGATTCATTCTAGCAGTAGGGATATCCATGCCATTGAAGGCGGTAACGATTTACTCGCCGATTTGCCGATGGCCGACGGGTCATCTGCTCTCGATGGGAACGAAGTCGGTGCGCTGACAGCCGCTCATTATCCGGAAGTTCTGTCGGAAATGCAACGGCATGCTGTCGAGAGGCCACAGCAAGAGCTGGGCAATAAGGGCCCAAGTGACTTCCACTGGGTCGTAAATCGTAAATCTCCATGTATTAGTCATGCTCGCTACTTCGACTCCTGCACTCCTGGACGAAGTGGCAATGTCGAGTCATGGGATTAAGCCGTCGGCACTAAACCCTGGGTGTTCTAGTGCAGACCATCCGAGCCTTTAAAAGGTGGGCAAGCGAAGAAGTTGGCCCTGTCTTCCACCACGGCATTAAGAACCCCGATGAGGTCACCTCCTTCTACTATCAGGCCAGCATGCTTCGAAAGAGATGAGCCTGAGTTGGGCCCAAGTCCCAAGCATCCACTCCTACCTTTAAGGACCTGGAGCGGTGCGAGGTGAATGCCTCCTCGGTGCTGCGCAGCGCTGCGCAGCTCGGAGAGACGGCCCTCCACCTGGCGCAGAGCTACCCGGAATACTTTCCGGCAGGCGAGCCGCAGCCCATCCTGGCCCAGCGGAGAAGAGTTTCGCTGTTTCTGTTTCTTGAGAGGCAGCGCCTGCAAGCAATGTGCAGAGCGGTGCATGAAGAGCTTCAGCTGCCAGCCGCTGGAGGCGCGCAGCCCGCCACAGCCCCAGGCCTTCCCAACTTGAGAGAACTCCGAAGTAGCCGCAGGACGCAGAAGAGCCGCGCCCCAAGCAGGCACAGCCGGTCCAATATAATTAGGGGGTTCCGAATTATTGAATCATTTGGGAAGCTTTGACGGCTTCTGCAAGATGACTCACGGTGCTCACCGGCAGGTAGGTGCAGCTACCTTCAACACAGCTGGTTTCGTCTTGGTGGACTCGGCAGAGAGCCGAAAGTGGGATTCCAAGTCTGCGTTTCGGGGTTAAGCTTGATGAGCAATGTCGAAGACCGACTTCACAATAAAGAGTGCAGCAGTACGTCGCCGGCGTCACTCGAAGCTCCTTGGGTCTTCGGGGGTCCTTGTCCTTGTCGCCGAGGCACTCATGGGGCTGGTCGCGCTGGGTCGCCGCCGCATGAACGGAGCTTCAGGTCGCCAAAAGCGCCTTGGACCCGCTCTTCCCCGTTCCGTTTCCTAACAGAAAGCAGTCGAAGCCCTTCAGTTTACTTTGAAAGAGCTTCTTCAAGCCTCGCCATGGTGGATCGCCTGAGTAACATGTCGGGGTTCCGTCTCTGACTTTAGTGGGAGTTTAGTGGGAGACCTTTTTGTCGGCGGCCCGTCGCAAAATGTAGAGTTCTTCAGCTTGGCTCATCGGATCCGGTGCAGGGAGACCTATTTGTGTATCGAAAATTTCAGAATGCATGAGCCGGTCATGGTGGCCGAAAAAGCTTCCTCTGAAAAAGTCTGTGCCTTGGCCAGTTCTCTGCGGTTGGCATGTGCTTGGTTCGTTTTTCCGTTGAATTCACACGCTGACGATGCTGGCTCAAAGAAATATGCTTTCCACAACCCTGCAGCATGCGGTGATCTCGAGTGCACGGCCCCCGTTGATGGCTCCTGTTCAGGCGGTTAGGTGTGCCTTGCAGTCCAAGGCAGTTCGCCTTTTTTAGACGCTTTTCTCCGAGCTGCGGGAACCGGTCGCCAAGCTTCGCAGAGAGGCCGCAGTGAAGACTTGTCCAATACGTTCGGATGTTCCCATTACGTTGGATCATAGCTCCGCCAGCCAGGCAAACGTCGTGCTATCTTCACAAGAGTCTATCACCCATCTGGCCAGGCGTGCTGACCTGTTTTCCACAGCGGAGATTTGCTGTTTAGAAGCTTGGCGACGTTCAGACAGCATCGGTCCTGGCGTTCTTCATCGACACGTGCATGTACAGGTCTGTACTCGAGGTTCAAGAGGATACGCACACCCGCACTCAGACACTATCTCTACGCGGTTTTTCTACGCAGCTAAGTATGCAGTTGTGTGTATTTATACAGTCTATACATATACACACATGAATGAATGACTCCACCAATGAACGAAGGTATTCATTCATGAATGAATTCATGCGTATGTATGTGTGCATCTGTGTGTGCGTGCGTGTGTGTGCGTGTGTGTGCGTGTGATGAATCCGCATTAACCTTCACCCCGCTTCGGCGGTGTGTGTGTGTGTGTGTGACAACCCTGCGTCCAAGGGCATTCACTTCACGTTCTGCACTGATTCATGTTTTAATCGACATGCAGCAGGGGGGCAGTGGACAATCTGGAAGGCACTGCCCAACGAAGACCTTTCCAGTTTGTCGTGAAATGGATTGGGGACGCTCAATCCACGTACCTGCGAGACTGCTTGTGACATCCTGGTATTCGCTGTGCATGGTTCGTCCTTATACTGCTCTGTTTGGATGGCCTGGGGCTAAGCCCAAGAACCCCTCAGCACTTGTGAGTTATGAGCTTTATCAGTGCTTGCGTCCGCAATACATGCTTTGAGCAGTTCCACATTCTGTCCATGTCTTCGTCGTCGCCTTCGGTGTCCTTGCAGGTAGTCAGGCTTTGTTGGGGTTTAGGCAGGTGGTCAGGTTCAGGCAGGGTTACTTCTCGCTGTGCTTCTTCGACGTTCTTGACCATGAGCTGACATGTCGAAAGTCTCTGATGTGTGGTCGCTTGAGACCTGGGCATCAGGGTGGTTCGTCGCATAAAGAAAACTCGCTCGACATTCCGTGTGTGTGTGTGTGTGTGTGTGCATGTGTATGTATGTATGTATGTATGTATGTATATGCATATGTATGTGTACATATATATATATATATATACAGGTACATATTATGTATATATATATACAGGTGTATGTGCAAGTGTATGTTGATGTATGTGGTGTCTGTGCTGTATGTGTTGTATGTGCCGTATGTTGAATGTGTTGTATGTTTAGGTGTATATGTATATATGAATATGTGTGCGTGTGTGCGCGTACGCGTACATGTGATTTCTATGTGTATGTATACGTATGTGTGTATATGTATGTGAATTTGAATTTGTACATGTATGTGTGTGTATATATGTATATATGGCGCAGCGCTGCTAGGCCCCCCGCCCCACCCCATGGTATCCCCCCCTCTCTCCCTGTGGTTCCCCGTGGTGTGGGTTCCCCCGCCCCTCCCCCCTGTGGTTGCGGTCGGCTGCGCCCACTTCCATGGCTATTGCTGGTTGGGCGTCCGGTTGCTAAGGGTTTGGACCGTAGGATGTGATGCTGTTCCATTGAACTCCGACCTGCCTGAGCTCCAAAGCCAATGATCCTGATGATGATGACGAAGATGGTGGTCATGATCCCCATCCGCACTCTCCTCCGGTCCCTTGCTCAAGAGTCCCGAATGAAAATCCTTCAATCACCTGCTCAAGCTTACTTTTAACGAACCCAACCGAAACTTGGCTTGGAATGACATCGGTCGGTACAGTTTTCGCAAGAACATCGCAAGCCAAGCACGGTTTTCAACTAGATAAAGCAATGAACCTGCGGTGCCGAAGCCCAGAGCAACATAAGAGCAAAGGTACCACCATCAGCCACACCGGGATTAGCACATCAACATCATTGTGGGCAACATCATCCCCCTATTTCTCATTTGTGTGTCGAAGAGAGGGGAAGGGGAAGGAGCCGTGTGGTTCCCTGTGTGGGTTATCCTTCCCCACCCCGCCCCTGTGGTTCGCTGTCTTGTGGTTCCATGGTTGTGGCCCGTTTGCCAAGGCGAGAGGCGAGGCCTGGCTTGGGGGGAGTTACGCGGATGACGTGTGACTGTGATGGGACGAGAGGCCTGGCTTGGGGGGGGGCATACCATGGGGGGCCTGCGACGCGGGTCTATTCTCGGCGGGCGTGCACACGGAGATCATCGGCCACACACAACATGTGAGATCATGCATGCATTGCGTGCATACGTGACTGCAGGCACGGTTTTTGCACTTTTGCATGTGTGTATGTATGCATGCATGCATGCATGCATGCATAGTCTTCTATATATACACAAAGATGCAAAGATATGTGCGTGTGAATTGAGAAATTGCGATTGAGCCGATGGCCTTCAATTAACAAGCATATGTACAAGTACGTCTCTGTGCACGTGCATCCCTACAAGCAGTTAGATACTCGTGCAGGCATCCGTGTGTACGTCAAGCTGTGTGTACAGACTTGTGCGTAGTCATGTCCGCACCGAGACATGAGCACACAAGCAGGCACTGCGTACAGAGACACGAGGCGGGCACAGGCATTAAGGCGGACACACTGGCCCGGCGCCAGAGGCCAGACTTGACCCCAAGGCCAGAAGATGGCGACGACGTACAGCACCCTCAATGCCGCTCTCTCAGCAGGGCTGAGTACCGGGCACATCAATCCAAGCTCCGCGAAGCTCCGCCCAGATGCGGCGGCCGGCTCCAATACCTCCGAGGTGCTTTGCACTACTCCGCAAAAAGGAATACTGCATCGTTTCCCTAGGTAAGACTTCTCTTGTTCAGCCCTAGCGGAAACTTCGAAGCATTGCATCCTACTTTCAGGATGGCAGCTGGCACAGCCTCCGCTCTTGCCGGGGGCTGAGAGCAAGTCTTTCAAGAGGAAGTTTGTTTGTGATGACATAATGGCACGATTCTGTGGCATCCTTCGAGCGGGTAGCTCTGCTGTAACATTGGATGGCTGTTGTGTGTGTTCTCTTGTGTGCCTGTAGGTCTCTGTGGCTCTAAGTCTGCTGTTCTGACCAGCTGTAAATCACTGACTCAACGGCCTGAACTGAATCAAATCGGCGCAGCTGCTAAGGGGCGGTTCCCGAATGCGTCGCAGCCCATGTCGCGAGTGGCTGCCCCGGTTATAGCCAATAGACAGGCACACTGTTCCACCCAGTTGCTTGGCACTTCGCTTAGGCGGTCAGGGGTTTGGAGTCGGGGTGAATGTGTTGTGGGTTTTGACGAGGGCGGCGAGCTCATGCGAGCTCTTGGGAGTTTCGAGGTTTCCGGATTTCGGGGTTTTGGCCGCTTGTATGGTTTGTAGGTTGTAGGGCCTGTAAGGTCATTAATGGGCTTGAGAGTCTTTGCGACGGGTCTTTGACAGGGGGCCCAGCTTTTGCTTGTAGGCTGATCTGACAGTGCGGAGTCTTGCGATGTGAAGCCGTTAGCAACACTACCACTCCCAGCCGAGATATAAATTAGTGGCGATTTGCCAGAGCTGCAGTCAGCCGAGGTGGCGCAGCAGGCGATCCTCCCCCCGAGCCATACTCCAACCAGGCTTCGAGTCCTTTGAAAGCGCCGATGCCAAAGAGCTTCCTTTCCTCAGCAGTTACACGGCGAGCCGTTGATCCCAGGGGACATACCTCTGTGGGCCCGAGTCGGCGAACGAGCCAGGTCTGGGTTGACTAGGAACAAGAATCATGCAAGATGACCTGCAAGGGATAGTGCCTGGCGTAGGCACTCACACAGGGGCAGAGGGACGTCTCCCTGTAACATCTGCACTCACGAGCCACCTCTCCGATTCCAGGAGCGGCCCACGACGCCCGTTGGGAACTTCCACTCTCGGCGAGGCTCAGGGAGCCGTGAGAGCCGTGAGAGCCGTGAGATGCATCTGTGAAACATGGCGTCTCAGATGACTTTAGCGGTCCGCGGAGTTCCAACAGCGGAAACTTCGATGGCCCAGGGACTCAGACAAAAGGGGCCCAAGAAAAGGCGCGCCCTTCAGAAAGCCTCGGGTCTTTGGGATTTTAGGTCAGCTTCCGGTGCCTCGTAGCCTCGGCGATGCCCGGGCCCAGGGGCGGAAATTTCCCCGCCTTCCCCCCATGGATTCCCCCTGATTCTTCTTCCTCCCTTGCAGGGGAGCAGTCGCAGCAAGAGCGTTGCTGTGGGCCCGGGAAGGCTGCAATTGGCTGTGGGGGTGGAGTTCTCGGTTGGATCTGCCTCAGCAGATGTGTCGTTTCAGGCTGACGTCGCATCGCGAAGGCCGGGGCATAGGCTCCTCCTCTCTGCTTTCGGCAGCTGACGGAAGCTTTATGCCAGGCATAAACTCTGCCGGCAGCTCCGGCTCGACCACCTGCGACAAGTGCGATGGCAAGCACCCGACCGATAGGCGTTCGGCGA